GGGAGTGTATGAGGATGATTTCTGGATGTGTTGATGGAATGATGGAAGTGTGGAGGATGGCTGAAGTGAATTTTGTAGCTTGAAGACTTCTTTATTTATAGGGCTAAGAGGGAGGAACATCATGATGAAATCCAACACCACCATTCCTCCTTTAATACAATCCATAACTCCCACTTTATCTTGTCTATGTTAGTGTGGTTGGAATCAATCACATCCCATACTTCTTTGCTGCACCTCAAGCTTTCTTCACATGGGTGTTCAAAGGTGTTCAATTGTGGCTGCCATTTGCTGCCAACCCATGTGGGTTTTCTTTTGGTTGCTGGAAATAAAAGATTCTTCTGAACCAGGCTTGGTTTAGGAAAGCCTGAGGTTTCAATATGTATCCAATGGGGCTCAAATTTGGATATGTTATAATATACACCCATTGGAACAACCTGTATGAAGAATGCATTCCCATCTGAGCAGTACAAGTGTACATTTTGGGCCTTGCAAGTTGACTGCCGAAAATAGACTGGAATGTATGGTGTTCATTTTGATGGGCCCGCAGATTGGGCTTGACTTCATCAATTGATACGTTTTAGCAGTCTATCTTGCAGTTTAGAATCTCTTCTTTCCAACCACATATAAATTGGGCCAAAACAAGTTGGGAGGAGGAAGACTTGACTTCATCAATTGATACGTTTTAGCAGTCCATCTTGCAGTTCAGAATCTCTTCTTTCCAACCACATATAAATTGGGCCAATATAAGTTGGGAGGAGGAAGATAAGGCCGAAACAAATTGCTAACTCAGTCTGCTCGTTTTTGCACCATTTTGCATCTTTTCCTATCCAAAGCCACCATTGCTACCTAAGGCCCAATGAATTGAATGATAAACAGAAAAGGGATTAAAATCACAAGTTTAACTCAATAACATAACCAAATCATAAGCTAGAGGGGTACAAACTGATATACAATTATGAACTGATCAGCAGCTATCGTAATCGTCATGGAAAGATATCACAAAATGTATTAGCAGCATGTAACTTTGATTTGGAGTTCATATACATGCTCAGTGGATGGGAAGGTTCAGCTCATGATTCAAAAGTGTTAAATGATGCTTTATCAAGGAGGAATGGACTCAAGGTACCACAAGGTACACTCTTATCTCTTCATTTTATTATTATCATTCATTATATCACGCTTTGCATACAAATTTATTATATATTTTATGATTAGGTAAATATTTTTTAGTGGATTGTGGATTTCCAAATCGACGTCAATTTTTAGCTCCATTTTGAGGTGTACGTTATCATCTCCAAGATTTTGCTGGTCAAGGTCGTGACCCTGAAAACACAACTGAGTTGTTCAATCTTCGCCATGCTTCCTTGAGGAATGTTATTGAGAGGATATTTGGGATATTTAAATCAAAATTCACAATTTTTAAGTCAGCACCTCCATTCCCATATAGGACTCAAGCAGAGCTTGTGTTAGCTTGTGCAGGACTACATAATTTTCTTCGAAGGGAATGTTGTTATGATGAATTTCCTATTGAACCAGAGAACGAGTCTTCATCATCTTCACCATTACCAGGGAGTGAAGGAGATAATGTGGAACAAGTCTTTGAAACTCAAGAACAACAACGAGAGAATGCTAATGAATGGAGAGTTGGTATAGCTTCTGACATGTGGAGAAATGCCATGCAAGATAATAACGCAACTCAACGATAATGAGCATTGGAATTTCTAAAGGAATTTTTATTATGGTTTATTCAACGTCATTGAAATGAATGGAACCTTTGTCATTTTATAATTGTACTTTGTCATTTTTATCATTTTCTAATGTTAAGGACAACTATTCTTTGCTTTTACGTAATTGTATGCCGACTAGTTAATTCAACATAGATAAATGCTATTTGTAAAATAAATATAAAAATAAGTATTTAAAAGTCTATAAAACTCTATGACAAAAGTATATGAAAGTTTGTCACTTTACTTTGTAAAGTATGTAAAAGTCATTAAGAATCTGTCAACTCTAGAAAAGTCACTCACTTAAAAAAAGTCTTTAAAAGTTAGAATTGGATATACCCCCCTAATAGTTTGTGTGGAACCCAATTCATATTGTCTCAACAAATAGCGGATTCGACCAGCCTCCTGTGCATTGGCCCTATAGAATAAGATAGAATCGTCGGCAAAGAGTAAATGAGAGATACTCAGACCATTGGACGTAAGCAGGAAACCATGTAAAGTCAGCAACTCCTCATGCCTTTTAATCAATGCTGAAAAACCTTCGGCGCAAATTAAGAACAAGAAAGGTGATAATGGATCTCCTTGCCGAAGCCCCCTAGTAGGCTGAATAAGAATGGTAGTTGTAGCTTGAGGAATGATAGTTGAAGAGTGTTGGAATTTAGTAGGTGTGATGCGAGTTGCTCTGATACCACTTGTTGGATTGTAGAGGAAACAAAGTAATTTTATTAGATTGGAGGAGAATAGTACATAGCTTTGTGTAGGCGAATTGGCCTCCTTAGCATATTGGCTTATTGGTCACCACACTTGATTTAGAATAGTTTGGGCTATTTGACCCTACATTTAGATTGGTGAGCTTATTGGCTCCTCAACATAGCTTTATTTGGGTAGCTCTTGGCTCCCTTATAGTTTGGGAGTTCTTTTTTGTTGGACTCCCCCTAGATTGGGAGTTGGTGGATGAGTCCAACCACGCCTATTTATAGGCTTTGATTGCAGACATACACAGCCACCTACTTGGGCTTCTTCATTTCTTAGCCACATATTTGTCTTATACTAGAATGTTCTTCAAACTTCAATTGCTTTTGTTCCACCTCCTTATTCTTTTCTCCACAACTCTAGATTCTTCCACCAAGTTAATCATATTAATGATTCTTCTAGAACCTTTTGGATCTTTTTTGTCACAAATGGTCATTAGTATTTTCAACACTCCTCCTTAATGCGCATTTGTGTTTCTCTAAGCATGCTCTTGAAGCTAGTATTGATGAAGCTCTAGTTGATGCTGCAGTTCCGTGCTCGTGTGGCATTTTATTTGTTCGTGCTCTTGTGGCATTTTCTCCATTCATAGTTAGCTTGATAGTTCTTCGTCAGCAATATTATTATTTTTTTCTTCTCAACGCCCAATTTTTTTAGTTTCAATATTCGGGCTTCTTTTTCTGGGTGCCTTAACTTTTTGCACACCCCACATGGAGGAAAGTTTTTCCTCTCATGCCATCTTTTTTATTTTTACTATCTCCTCCTCTAGAACTTTCTCTATATCTATTTCCCCTTCTCTAGATTTTTTGAAACCTTAAATTGAGTATTGATAGCACGTACCTTGCTTCCTTTGCTTCCTTAGAATCGGCCCATGTGCCCATAGTTGATCGAACCAGCTCTGACGCCCAATGCGATCGAACCAGCTCTGATACCACTTGTTGAAATTTAGTAGGTGTGATGTGAGTTGCTCTGATACCACTTGTTCGATTGTAGGGGAAACAAAGTAATTTTATTAGATTAGATGAGAATAGTACATAGCTTTGTGTAGGCTAATTGACCTCCTTATCATATTGGCTTATTGGCCACCACACTTGATTTAGAATAGTTTGGGCTATTTGACCCTACACTTAGATTGGTAAGCTTATTGGCTCCTCAACATAGCTTTATTTTGGGTAGCTCTTGGCTCCCTTATAGTTTGGGAGTTCTTTTTTGTTGGACTCCCCCTAGATTGGGAGTTGGTGGATGAGTCCAACCATGCCTATTTATAGGCTTTGATTGCCGACATACACAGCCACCTACTTGGGCTTCTTCATTTCTTAGCCACATATTTGTCTTATACTAGAATGTCCTTCAAACTTCAAATGCTTTTCTCCACAACTCTAGATTCTTCCACCAAGTTAATCATATTAATGATTCTTCTAGAACCTTTTGGATATTTTATTTTCACAAATGGGCATTAGTATTTTCAACAAAGAGGAATGATAATAGTTGGAAGAACAATCCAACATGTAGTAAAAACAAAATGATGAAGGAAACAAAGAAAAGAAAATCAAAAGGGGGTAGAAAACTGTGAAAAAACAAGACAAATTTCACAACAATTTGGGCACAGTAAGGGCCAGATGGGCTTGAAAGCATAAGAACAATCATGAGTCTTTATGGAAACTTCGAACCTGGCTATAACCAATTACATCCCTGATGGGCTTGAAAGCATCCTGAGTTTATTCTTTCACATGTTCAGGCTTTTGTCTTTGCTAAGACGAACCATTCTTTTACATTTGTATTACTACTTTGAAAATCTGTAAATCAGTTGCACTCTTTTATACTAGGGTACCGCATCCAGTGGCTTCAAATTTTTCCATACACCAATTGCCCGATCTGTTCGCAGTTCTCGTCTTCGCAGTTTACAGTTTGTGTAGCATCACTTGAACTCCATGTTGTGGACGAATTGTTAGATAATCAACGGGTGAATGGACATAACCAGGGGAAAGGGTGAAGTGGTAGCGCTGTAGAATCATTGACAGAACAATTTTTGCTTCAGTGGCTGCAAAGTTGAAACCCACGCAAGTTCGAGGTCCCATTCCAAAGGGTAAGAATGCGGCTACGTTATTATTTGTAGCTTTAGCAACACCTTCCAAGAATCGATCTGGTTTAAAACGGTGCACGTCTTCCCCCCAGAACTGAGGCTCATGGTGAAGTGCTAGACATGAGATGAGCAATTCAACATTAGCAGGAACAATGAGCCTTCCCAGTTTAACTTCCCTTGTAACTTTCCTATCAATGGAAAGAACAGAAGGGTATAACCTCAGAGACTCATTGATGACCATGCTCATCTGCATGAAAATGGACAATTGATTTGAAAAGAACAGAAGATTCCAAACTCTATTCAAAACATTTCTGCCACTTGGAAAAGAATAGGTTGAGTTCATGACTTTCTTACTGTTTTTAGCTTGGCAATGTCATCGTGTGTTGGGTTTTGTTTGCCAAATAATTTTAGGACCTCCTTTCTTGCTTCCTCTTGCCAATCTGTATGAAGTGCCATAAGAAAGATAATCCAAGCAAGCAAACCATTAGTGGTTTCTTGTCCAGCAAAGTAAAACGTCTTGCATTCATCAACCAAATCATTGGTATCAAGATGAGCCTTCAAAAGTAATCCAAGATAATCATTCCCAAAGTTGTTTTCTTCTCCAGTCTTTGCCGCCTTTTCTCTTTTCTTAACAATCGCTATGATGGAGTCGCGCATTGCTTTCTCAAGCTTCTCTGATTCTATGTCATCACTGGATTTGAAAATCTTACTGCAATTGGGAATGAGATTGTACATAAGAAGTGACAGCAGACGAATTATTCCAAAGAATTGAGAATAGTTTATCTGTTTTACAGCAGATTGGAAGATAGGGAAAAATAAAAAAGAAGATTAGTTCTCCGCACAACTAGCCTAATGCCTCAGAAGTAGCTGAGTTCAACTATACAAAATTAAATTGAACATGTGATCAATTTCATATGTGGCAGCTTAACTGAGATCAATTTGATTGTTAGTAGAAGGAAGCACATGCAGGAATAAATAGGATTTTTTTAGGAACATATTGAGAGAGAATTGGTTAGGCAATGTGTATTTGCTAACATGGATTGTTTCTTTACTTCTTTAGCAAGGTACGGAATGTATAGCTGGATATTCAACATGATTTGAAAATATCTAGTACAACTGGAGTGGGAGATTCAGAGTCGAAAATAGGATTCCTTTTTCTTTCTCTCATTCAAAAACGTGCATGAGACTTTCATCTCACACTACTCCTAAGTAATCAAGTATTGGACTCTAGCCAATGGAAATAGTCATCTGATTGGTCTAGAGATAAGTTTTATTCCATCAGTAATAAGGGTTCAGAATTTCATACTTCGATCAATCAAAGAGCAATTCAACAACTAATTAAGAAAGATCCATTATTCAGAACCTTCTTTCTTCAAGTTGGAATGAACATAGATAAAGATGATGGTTCATATGATTATTCCCCAATTTGAGATGAATTCAGTTAAAAGCAAGATACCTGATGCCAGGAAATCTGACTTTGAAAGAATTTTTGACTAATAAGAAGGATAACTTCATCAAATTGTCAAAAAAACTCTTCCCTTCTAAGTAGCTGCTGCTAAATGCCGTCCTGGAAATCACTTCTGAAGTGAACAACCTAAATTGTTCGTAAACCTCAATTTCTTTTCCTTCATGATTTTTCCACCCATCTAATATTGTCTCAGCACTAGCTATCATTGCCGGGATCATACTCTAGTAAAACAATACCATCTTGCGATTAGACTGGAAATCACTTCTGAAGTGAACAACCTAAATTGTTCGTAAACCTCAATTTCTTTTCCTTCATGATTTTTCCACCCATCTAGCATTGTCTCAGCACTAGCTATCATTGCCGGGATCATACTCTAGTAAAACAATACCATCTTGCGATTAGAAATTTATCTTCAATTTATGATTAATTTCCCATTCATATTATAGAACTCTTTGAAATAGTTTACAGTAACTGTATGAACTTACTTTTAAGCTCTCTCCATGGAAGGCATGGTTGGCCAGCTTTCTCACTTTTGCCCATTTGTCAGCTTGGTTTGTTGTTCCCATACTATCTCCTACTAGCTTCTTGACATAGCCTTCGGGCTCTCTTTTCGGATAAGCTCCATCTTTGTTACTTAGTATCTCTTTGCACAACTCGGGTTCCATAATGACCAACTGAGCTTGAGAACCATGCCACTGAAGATAATTCTTCCCTGTAATTGCATAAAAAATGACCAAATTTGTTTTGCAACTTAGATTTAGAAGCCACAGTGTACGAAGAGCTTGTTAATACCATATATCTTGGTCCATGAGCGAATATGAGGTTGAACTGCAGATAACACGTCATCTGATAAATTTCTGGGACTGCCCATAGTTTCCATTTTCATGTTGAAGATTTCTTTGGTGTTTCCATGGATAAGTCTGTAAGAAGGCCCTTTGATTCCCTGCAAAGCCATCAGATTCTGTATACGCCTCGGAGTCCACCATAGTTTGTGAAAGGCCTTGATGAGAGCTAAGAGAACAAACAGACACAGAAAGCTAGAAACAATGACCACTAGGCCTCCCAAACTACTCATTTTTTTATCTGGCTGTAGCTCCCAAACTACAAACTGAGGATATCTTATCTCCTGGCTTTGCCGCCGATGAGATGCCATATTCAAATTCTGCCAATGAGATGTCCTTCACATCATAGTCCGCCCAGAGATGACAACAGAACTTGATTTTGTTTCCTTTGCTTTGTTTAGATTTACTCTTTGTCTTTCCTATTTGTTATTTGACTCTTAGTTTTGGCTTTACACTTTTCAATTTGGTTCGGCTATTAGAAGGACATCTGTTTCTGCTGGTTCTTTAATGAAGAGAAGAGAGTATATAAAACTCACAAATATTATACTTATCTGTTTCCTTCCTTCATTATAGAAATGGTAGCTATGGTTTGCCGAATGAGATCTGGAAGAAGGTTATTTGAAGAAAAAAAAGAGGGTTGTAGGAAGAATTTAGTTAAAAGGAAAAATGAATTTGGATATGTGCCATTATTCACCTGTGCAAAATATTTGCATTGGCACACCCAAAAGCTAGCAGCTGATGGGGGTGGAGAACGCTCTCCATACTGAGCTCTGCATTCTGCAAGATTTAATGTCTGTGATGAGCTCAATTTAAAGCAAGCTCTCACTCATGTCATGCCAACTATTAATGGTATGAGAAATTGAGAATCATTACCATTAGATTTTGTTCTGTTGAACAACATAGCTGAAGCACATCGCTTGGACAGCTTTGCAATGAGCGTAGGCCCAATAATATCTCCCCCCGTGGAAATGATAAACAAAGAAAGAAAAGAAGATCAAAAAGGGGCAGAACATTGTGCAAAGAAAGACAAATTCATGACAATTCACACAGTAATTAAAATGAATCCAACATGTAGTCAAAATAAAATGCCTTCCTAAATGACAATTATAAATCAAGCTTAATCCATGATTAGAAACAAAATAGGTTCTCATGCAAGTTGAAGATTAAAGTTCAAAGCTCAAGTGATTAAGAACGGTTACCCCTGCACCTGAAGTCCAGTGTTCGAATACATAGAGTGTTTGAATACTCGAATAACCCCTCTCTCAGTATTGTTTGTGTAAAAAAGAAGAAGACAAAAAGATCAAAAAGACAAAATATAAATTAACTAGAATCATTCAATAAACCAGGAACTAAGAGGGTCAGATTAAGTTGAGCACAAAGTTGGAAACAAGTTCTCAGACACATAACTTGATAACATGATATCTGCCTTGCTGAGCTCCACCAGGAAGTCATGTTCATGTCTGATTTTTGATGTCTTCTATGCTGCTCTCCATCTATCTTCTTCATCTTATAAAAGGGTCTTGCCTGAGCCAGTTTTGCCAATGCAGTTTCTCTACCGCTCATCATTTATAGGCAGTGCCTGAGATTGAATTGGCATTGGCTTTTCATAGTTAAAACTTTTTTGTGAGGATGTGTCCCAAGATTTTAGCAATGGGTCCAGGTTGGTGCCATGTCTTAATTGGCTTGGGCACATTCTCACCATCTATCTTCAATTCTAATTCTTTCCTTTCCTATTTTCCAATTGTTTCCTATCTTCAATTTCAGTTCTAGAAATCTCCTTCTACTCAATTTAGAAATTTTTACGGAATGGTTTATAATCTATTTCATATTTTGTCTTTTTCGCCCTTTCTTCTTACTCGTCTTTCCTATGTCAGCTTTCGATCACGCCCCTAACCCTAACCTTAATTTAGAAATTGGGCTAGATTTCTATTTCTCCTCTTCCATCGCAATTTGACAATTTGCCTTCTCCTCATCGACCGAGCTTATAGTCACGTGTTGTGATGGGGAATTTCCCATCTCCGTGTCAAGTTTGGGCTGCTTAAAGGCCCGATGACCCAAAAAAGGTTTGACACCCTGGATTTTATCATCTGTGTTGTAAACGGGTCGGATTCAGATCGGATATACTTCAATTCAAATTCGAATCCATTTATAATCGGATTATCGGATTGCACCTATCAATCCATATCCGTTACGCATCGAATTCAGATTGGATCAAATTATTATCAGATTTATTTTGTGATGTACAAAAAAAATCAAAATTTCATTAGTAGCCTCAGTCTTTTATTGTATTTTATCTACTTGTTGAGGCCCAAAAAAAATCTCAAGGAAGGTTTGTGCATATTTTAAGGTCTAATTCATTATCATGCTAAGGGACGCGGAGGCCCATCAAATATAGCTACGAAGTGCCTAAACAATCTTTGATATTCGCGCCATGCCAAGTGAGACTACAATTTGGCACATGGGGAGGTCATGGTACGGGTTTACCAATTTCACATGCCAACATGAAAAGTTTAACAACGTCACATGCTCAAGCTCACCTAGCCCACTGCTTGGTCAAGCATTATCTAACGTAGTGACATGCCACGCCAAACGATCCCCTTTAGTGCCAAACCACTAGACAAACTTAAGTGGGCCCAAGTCACATACATGCCTGGGGCTTGCTGAGCGGGTTATGGTGTGGATGGGTACAATGGTCCATAAGGCCCATGGAGGGTTCAAAAGGTGGAGGTTTTGGGCTGCTTGGGAGCACCAAACGTTTGTGAGCCTAACATATGGGTAAGTAAGAGAGAAATTCCAGCCTTGCCCAATTCAAACTGAAACCCTTAAAATCCAGTTTACATAAATATCTAGGCTGATGAAAGAGATAAGCCTCAACCTTTCTGTTTAACCATCAACTTTACCCATTTTTACCCCTATGAGCTCATGCAAGAAAAGAGAAAGGAAAGCCAAGCTGGAGTGTTGCCTGGAAAGGAATCCTCTGCAAGGTCCAGCTACAGGAAAGTTTTGGGACACCAAAATGTTTTGTCTCAATAGCCATGGATTCAGCTGATTTTAGGGAAATTTCACTTATAAAGGCCATATTGGAGAAAGTGAAGGGAAATAAATGAGAAGACTTAGCCAATTGAGAAGAAACCATTTAGGGCTCGTTTGGTATGTCAGACTGTATTGACTAATTTCTGTCGGTTAGTATTAATTTGTTCCGGAGAGTACTGACTGTTTATCTATAATATTATAAGGCGTTTGGTGTTGTTCCGGATAAATAGTCTAACTAAGTTTTATTGTGTTTGGTGATGTTCCGGATAACATTGGATCAAACTATTTTTTTTATAAAAAATTCTTTGATAATTTAAGTGGAAATATAGACAATATAAACAATATAATTTGAATATATATAATTAAGAAAAAAAGAGAATATATTGAAGCCCAACCAAAGTAGGCAATAAGAGAATCAACAGCCAGCAATAGCAACATGAAAATAACCAGAAAACAAACCAACAAAGCACAAAAAGTAGAAAAAAAAATACAACAAGAAAAACATAGCCGCATGTATTGTTCTAATTGCTAACTTGGGATGATAATTTGATTATTGAGTTAGATACCTGGAGAGGATGAATTACATAAAGAAAAAAACGCAAGAAAAACTCAGCAGCATGTATTGAGTTGGATACACAGCCGCATGATGATTATTTGATTATAACCTAATTTCCACAAAAATTTAATAAAAGATGAAATATATAAAGAAAGAGAAGATGAAGAAAGAAGAAGAGAAAAGAAGCATATTGGAGAGAGAGAGAGAGAGAGAGAGAGAGAGAGAGAGAGAGATGGATACCTGGAGAAGAGTGAAGAGAATAACCATGGAGAAGATAGTAGAGAAGAATCCTAGGGAGAAGAAGATGAAAATAATGTCGTCAGACTTTTCACGTGAACGTGTGTGTTCTTTTTCCCTAGCTGTATAATTAAGTGTGTATTATCTAAACCAGGGTGTGTGAGTTGTATTAGTTAGTTAGGTACGGAGAGTATTAAAAGCCTAACCCGTATAAAATAGTCAGGTAATTAAATAATACAAGTTGACACCAAACACATGACATGGACTATTTACTCCTATCTAGAGTCTAATAATTTGACATCAAAAAATTCTTTGTAATTAAATAATACAAGTTGACACCAAACACCTGACATGGACTATTTACTCCTAGGGTTTTTGAGGTAAAGAATAGTTCCAACGCCTATAAAAGAAGGTCATGGGCTACCCAGCAAGGGGGACTCAACTCAACCAGAGCAATCAAGCGAGCTTATTCTCTAATTGCTAGAAATATCAAGCCCAAGTACATTCCCTTCCATCTCCTTCTTCTTTATCCTAAAAAACCCAAGCAGGAGCAAGCATACTCTCCCATTGTTGAAAGCACCAGATTCAAGCTCTAGTTCTTCCATATTCTCATTCTCTCTCTCTCTCTCTCTCTCTCTCTCTCTCTCTCTCTCAAAAGGCCTATTCCAGATCTGAAACACCTATCTTCTCAAGCCAAACTGAAATCATGGTTATCGCATTCTTGGTGAGAAAACGCATGCCAAGTGATCAGTTCATATAAACTTATGCTTTTAATCCCTTTTCTGTTTATCATTCAGTTCATTGGGCCTTAGGTAGCAATGGTGGCTTTGGATAGGAAAATATGCAAAATGGTGCAAAAACGAGCAGACTGAGTTAGCAATTTGTTTCGGCCTTAACTTCCTCATCCCAACTTGTATTGGCCCAATTTATATATGGTTGGAAAGAAGAGATTCTGAACTGCAAGATGGACTGCTAAAATGTATCAATTGATGAAGTCAAGCCTAATCCGTGGGCTCATCAAAATGCACACCATACATTCCAGTCTATTTCTCGGCAGTCAACTTGCAAGGTCCAAAACGTATACTTGTACTGCTCAGATGGGAATGCATTCTTCATACAAGTTGTTCCAATGGGTATCTATTATAACATATCCATATTTGAGCCCCATTGGATACATATTGAAACCTCAGGCCTTCCTACACCAAGCCTGGTTAAGAAGAATCTTTTATTTCCAGCAACCAAAAGAAAACCCACATGGGTTGGCAGCAAAAGGCAGCCGCAATTGAACACCTTTGAACACCCATGTGAAGAAAGCTTGAGGTGCAGCAAAAGAAGTATGGGATGGGATTGATTCCAACCACACTAACATAGACAAGATAAAGTGGGAGTTATGGATTGTATTAAAGGAGGAATGGTAGTATTGGATTTCATCATGATGTTCCTCCCTCTTAGCCCTATAAATAGAGAAGTCTTCAAGCTACAAAATTCACTTCAGCCATCCTCCACACTTCCATCATTCCATCAACACATCCAGAAATCATCCTCATACACTCCCATCAACCTCATACACTCTAGCAATCAACCCAATACTCTAAACTGCCCCAAATCACCAAAACAGCTCCAGAAAACCTCCCTTCCGTTTCCCTACGAATTTCCTCTTTCTTAGCCATCACCATTCACCCAAACTCATCTCAAATCACCTACTAGCTGTCATACATCATTCTAGACGTAGGGAAGCTCTTGGAGAAGCATTAGACGTGGAGAAGCACTTGAAGAAGTCTTGGACACCACAAGAACTTCAGAAAAGGGGTTTTTCTACTCTTATTGCATTCCTTATGTTTTCTCATTTCTATCTAAGTTTCTTTTCCATTATGAGCAGCTAATTTCATAACTAGGGCTTCGATGTAACCTAACATGAATATTCT